TGTGACTTGAAAAAGCCCACTGTGTGGGCGAAACGTTGTCAATAAAGGATCACATTAAACTGCATATGTGTTTATGTTTCCAAGCTTGGACGGGAATGTTAGAGTACGGAGGGTCATTTGAAGTGTGATGCCGGCGCACTTCTGGCAAACCAACAATGGAATGAAAGATAGTTAATGTATTTCCTTTCCTGGGTCATCCGGCCTCAAAGGGATACAGCCGGTGTGCACCAAAAAAATAAAATAAAATAAAAAACTTTTAGTATTGCCCCGAAGGTCGATTTTGAGCAGTGGCTGTCATGCTAAGATTAATCTTATAATAATGGCAACCAAAAAAAAAATGGTTTACACGCCATTGGCGATATCAACTCCATCAAAGGTATATTAAACAAGAACTGTATGTTTCTCGGTATATATATATATATATATATATATATATATATATATATATATATATATATATATATATATATATATATATATATATATATATATATAGTTACAGTATCTTTATCTTTGCAATTACAGGTATCTGTACATTAGCATACTGCCATTATCTGATTACAGCCGTTTTTGTAAAATGCTGCCAATCTTAATTAGATTATTATTATAATCAAAAAGAAGCGCTAAGCCACAAGGACTATACAGAATCTTAATTAGAGCGAACTTAATTAGAGCGAACTTACACTGTTCTTAGTTATATATTTTATTTCGATTTTACACAGAAGCAGCAGGAGAGCACACTGAGTGCACACTGAGTGCACAGTGAGTGCACAGTGAGTGCACAATGAGTGCACACTGAGTGCACAATGAGTGCACAATGAGTGCAATGGGACCAATACTTTTCAACGCCCTCCCTTCGTACATTTAAGGGAATTACCAATACACCTTTAATTAACTGTCTTCAACACTGCCCTTATCTCCGTGCTATACCTGTGACCTGTTTCTGGAGCTTGGCCTGTGGCCAAGCTACCCTGTTGACTGCTTGGTCAACTCGACTCTGTGTGCTAGTAGCCTGCTGCAGGCCCACATAGCCATCACAACCTGGCTAATCCAACACGTACAGAAACTATTCAGCTTCTTTAAAATGCCATTTTGGTTCCGGCAATTTTTCTGATATCTTCTGGTAGAATGTTGAAGAGTCTCGGGCCACGTATGTTGACACAGTGTTCTTAAATCGTAAATACGGAATCTCTGTTTTTCACTTGGTTTTAGTTATTATTTTTTTCGTACCTTTTACTCCAGTAAGTTGTAGAGAAGTGTGCAAGTTAAGGTCCTAATGTTTGTCTGATTAGCCGGGCTGTTGTGCCAAAGTTGTACTGCGTGCGGCCAGCATCAACAGCTTGACTGATCAGGCCATGAACCAGGATGCCTAGTCTGGGACTCGAATAGTCTACAGGTTTAAGATAACCCATGGCCGGGCTCCGAGAGTAGTGAAACTCTCGAAACTCTTCAAAGATAAAGGTAGGTAAACAGTGAGCAGTGATTAACATAACTCTATGGGAAATCACCGCCAGGTTTTAATTCTTTACCTACAAAAATGGGTTGTAACATATTCCTGTCTGTGCACAACGCTTTCCAGGCACCGAGAGTTTTCCGGGAACTTTCATAACAGATGTACATAGATGTATTTACAATAAATTAGTTAGTAAATAGAAAACAGTGCATGTCTCCATGGCAACGAGAGCCGCCCCCTGGTAGGCTGGATGGGGTTAAGCGCATGGATGAGTGCAGAAAAGAGAAGTGCAGGTTTAATCTCCTCCACTGGCCTTTATTCTTCACCCTACGTACCTCCTCTCAACGCTCTATACTCGTTTACACACACACACACACACACACACACACACACACACACACACACACACACACACACACACCACACACACACACACACATTGGTCACTGGTGCTGAGAACAACACACCTGGTTCAACCAATCAGGCAGCATTTACACAGCAGAAGAGAACTCTTGAAACTATGGCCAGGTTAACTCTAGGTAAACACTTAAGATGAGATTCCCATGTGTAAACAAGAAACTCGCATCCCCTCTCTCTCTCTCTCTCTCTCTCTCTCTCTCTCTCTCTCTCTCTCTCTCTCTCTCTCTCTCTCTCTCTCTCTCTCTCTCTCTCTCTCTCTCTCTCTCTCTCTCTCACTCTCTCACTCCCGTTCCGTTCTTCAGGTTTAAGGTAAAGTTTCTACAGTTCATTTTATCACCTGTTAGCCGTAAATTTCTCTTTTCCTCGTCTGTTTCGTGTTATCTGCCATTCTTTCTGAGATCATCGCCCCCACGGCCCAGTCTCAGAGCAGTACTGATAAAGTGGGAGGGAAATATTACAGAAGAAAGAAGCATTAGGAAGTGTGGTTGTGTTCCGCCTTGCTCCTGCGCCAGCACAACGCCACCACCAAGTTCGCGTACCACCCAACTTTTAGCGTTGTCTGAAAACTTGGCCTTAATCGAGTTAGTGCATGAGCTGGTGCAGGGGGAGAGAACACCCCCTCCCCCTCCCCCTACCTTTCACCTCTCTTGCACCTCCACCCCCCTTCCTCCGTCTTTCTTGACACGCAACTCCATCCCCTGCCGCCCCTCTATCACTTCCTCTGAGCTTCTTTCTGTCATGTGAAGTTAGCTAAGGTAGGGTAGCAGCTCTTTGCTTGTAAAATTAGTTGAGGCGAGATAATATCCCTTAGGCTATAAAATGAGCTGAGGTTCAATAAGAGCGCTAGTCTTCTAAAATTAGCTGAGGTAGCATAATAACTCCTAGTCTGTAAGAAATAAATAAAAGCTGACTTAGGCGGAAAGGGATTACGAACGAGAGAAACTCTTGCTAGAGACACAGTGTATCACACGAAGGTTGGGCACACCGCGTTTTACGCTGGAGAAAAATACGAGCAGGCTTCTTGCAGGCATACCACACTTACCTGGTGAGTCTACCTGGGGAGTGTTCCTAAGGTCAGCGCTGTGACTGGCCGGGTCCCAGACCAGGCTCCCGGTGGAAAGCCTGATCATGCAGGGTTTTGGTGCTGGCTCGCACTAGTGTCCTCTGCCTCACTTGTTGGCGTTACGCCTCCGGTTTGGCCTATGGGATGATTTCAGAACAAGTGATGCCAAGTGATCTTTAAAACACTTGGTTGTGGTGGTGATAGAGGGGTGGTGGTAGTGGTGGGATGGAGGGTTTGGTGGTGGTGGTGGTGGTGGTGGTGATGGGGGTGGTGGCAGTGGTGGGATGGAGGGTTTGGTGGTGGTGGTGGTGGTGGTGGTGGTGATGGGGGTGGTGGTAGTGGTGGTGATTTGGTGGTGGTAGGGAGGATGGTGGTGGTGGTGGTGTAGAAGGGGTGGTGGTAATGGTGGAGGGGTGGGTAGTAGTGGTGTTTTGTTCGTCAGGAAACAGCACAGTGTCATGGGCGCTTTATTAACTGATAATTAACTGCTTAAGCATTCGTTGATCTACCCGATATAATGGTGATATATTCGTTATAAATGGCATTATAACACGTTATTGCACCCTTTTTTTTCTGATATATTTTATGGAGTCATTCATATATGATATACAGTTGTTTGTGCCATTAAAATCCATTAACGACTTACGTTTATGGAATCAGTATTATTTTATTACTCACGCCATTATTTCTAATATTATTATTTATTCACGACAGAGGTCATTGTAAATGAGTAAGGTTTGTGTGTGTGTGTGTGTGTGTGTGAGTGTATGTATGCTCACATACTACACACACACACACACACATACCACAACCACCAAGGAGTACAGACGTCAGCCATCTCATCCTTGGTAAAAATGAGTAACTGAATAGTCTTGGGCCTTTTACACTTATTGTGATGCCTTCTGCGTACGAATGGCACTCTTGCTTTTCATTGCATCTCCTGCCGATCGTTTTGCTATCATAGGGAGTGATTTGTGTATTCAGATTTGGCTTTATTTCCTCTAGGAATTGCCAGTTGTAAATAATGATGCATCTTTCTCGCTTGTGCTTCAAGGAGTATAGGTCAAGTGACTTCAAATGTTCCCAGTAATTATGGTGCTTGACTGAATTTACCCATGCAGGGAAGGTTCTTCGTACATACTTCGTACATATCTTCATTAGGTGCCAGATCAATCAGGATGTGAGGGATACGTGGGGCAGAGAGCATCCAGCAGCAACAGCCTGGTCGACCAGGCAAGCACCAGACGTGCCTGGCCCATGACCGGGCTCCGAGAGTAGTGAGAGTGTTAAAAGAGGCTCTTAGTCTCTTGCTCTCGAGAGAGAACAAGTGACTTGAAAAGGAACATCATTAGTTTGGCATCCATTGTTTTGAAGGTTCTCGTTATCCGTCCTATCATTTTCCTCTAGAATGTTTCTTTACAGATAGGAAGGACGTGTGTCTCGCGTTCATCAGACGGAGGATCAAGCCTCCACCATGTCTTGTGCTGAATAACCCACATGGATTTAGTGTTAAACATGAATTAATAAAATTAAAATTGTGATAATGACTCTTGTGTAGGGAATGGAGATATTTTTGTGAGTGATACCACCAAAAAATAAGGAAAGCGTCACTATGGATTATTTCCCGGGGTAAGACTGACGTTTATGCAAATGAGGAATAAAATAGCACAACAGTACAGTGGAACATCTGTTAACAATATGCAGAGGTACACGGTTTAAGCACAGGTTTGCTTATACACCTGCAGAGGACAGCAGTGGATGAATTGATAGAATAACTAAAAATAAACAAATTCAGGAAATGTAAGAATGGTTAATAGGGAAATTAAATAAGGAAAATGCATCTTTAATTAGAAGATAGTTACGTAGAAATAATAATAATAATAATAATAATAATAATAATAATAATAATATGTAGAAATAACTACGATTAAGATACAGTTAGTACAAGGTATTTCTGTGTCAACAAAGGCATAGAGAAGAAGGAAAGTCTGGAAGAATATTTAAGATTGAAGTTATTTTTGCAAAATTCGCTAGAAAAAAGATAGAGATTGAACAACAGCTGGTGTTAGTTATAGAATTTATTGCTAGTGCCAATGTTAATCATTAGCAAGATCTTGTTTGCGAGGAAAATGCAAACAATTATAGAAGACAAATGTTTTCATTGGAAGATGTCACAAGTGGGGTGCCACAAGGTCCTGTGTTTGCCCCAGTAGTGTTTCTGAGGGACATCAGAACAAGAGAAGACGCGATTTTGAAGACCAAAATGTCAAATCTACTAAAGGCATGGATAATTCTGATTAATATTATCGTAATCATGAAGAAACACTGATCTACAGGGGTTTTAGAGCGCCTAGGGAATGGTCGAGCTTAAACTAACTGAAAGTCCATCTTTCTCTCTCTCTCTCTCTCTCTCTCTCTCTCTCTCTCTCTTGTCTGAATGTGTTTTTTGTTGATACTGAAGACGAAGACGTGTACGTCAGAATTCAATATGAGAGTTTAAATAACCTTAATTCATTTTTTTTTTCAGAACTGCTACGAGATGGACCGCTACCTGAAGGACGAGCCTCGGGTGAAAGGGGGCGGTCGCAAACTGGGCAGCTGTGAGATCGACGCCCCCTGGCAGGCCTTCTACGAGGACTGTGGCCACGACTCCTCGTCGCAGCCGCTGCGTATCTATAAGCTAGGCAGACCCATCAAGGGCGGCCGCAACTCCCGCCTTCTGGTGAAGGTCAAGACCGAGGCTCTCAACTCTGAGCTGAACATCAAGCGGGAGAACTTCGAACGCGACACCTGCGAAAAGAGCGAAACTCTGGAGGACGAGGTCATAGTCAAGGACGAACCCTTGGAGGACCTTGATGACCCTTCAAGTCAGGACGACCTTTGTGGTTCAGAACGATCCCTAGACTCTGTGTCAGTGTCCTCCTCTTCCTCCGCCTCCTCCCTCGCTTCCTTGGAGGGGGACCTTGATGCCCCCGTCAGTGTGGGAGAGCAGAGTCCTACCCGCGGCCGATCACTCGTCTCATGGGCGTCTTCTGAGGACATGGTAACGGACGCGCGGCTGGACTCGGGTGCGCGACGGGGCTCCAGCACGTCGTTCTTCGGCGCGACAAAATTGCTGACAGCCAAGTCTGCCCCTAACATAGCCACACTGACCCCACCCTCCTCCCCGGAGACCTCGCCCGTCACACATACCCACACGCTTCTGAAGGTTCATGCCCGCTCACAAGTGCCAAAGTTTATCTCCTTCGCCACCTCCTTGCCCCTCAAGACGAGTAACAGCAACAGCAGTAGTCTGACTATGGGCGTGCGAGGGATGAGTGTGGGCGTACATCCGCGGGCGGCAGACACTTCTCCGGACGCCAAACGTCGGGTACACAAGTGTCTCTTCCCCGGCTGCAAGAAAGTGTACACCAAGTCCTCGCACCTCAAGGCCCACCAACGTACACACACCGGTAAGTTGCAACCCATCTTGCATGAATATTTTTGGGGCTTTGTCCTTCTTGTATCTAGAATGTGGTGCTTTTATCTAGACTGAGAGTTAGGTTTATTATGTTGATATCTGAGCTGCTACAGTTAGAATGGGAGATGCTTTCTCAGGGCGAGAGGCGGTCTCCAAGCGTGGTACGATCTCAGGGCGAGAGGCGGTCTCCAAGCGAGGTACGATCTCAGGGCGAGAGGCGGTCTCCAAGCGTGGTACGATCTCAGGGCGAGAGGCGGTCTCCAAGCGTGGTACGATCTCAGGGCGAGAGGCGGTCTCCAAGCGTGGTACGATCTCAGGGCGAGAGGCGGTCTCCAAGCGAGGTACGATCTCAGGGTGAGGGGCGGTCTCCAAGCGAGGTACGATCTCAGGGTGAGGGGCGGTCTCCAAACGAGGTACGATCTCAGGGTGAGGGGCGGTCTCCAAGCGAGGTACGATCTCAGGGTGAGGGGCGGTCTCCAAGCGAGGTACGATCTCAGGGCGAGAGGCGGTCTCCAAGCGAGGTACGATCTCAGGGTGAGGGGCGGTCTCCAAGCGAGGTACGATCTCAGGGTGAGGGGCGGTCTCCAAACGAGGTACGATCTCAGGGTGAGGGGCGGTCTCCAAGCGAGGTACGGTCTCAGGGTGAGGGGCGGTCTCCAAGCGAGGCACGGTCCCAGGGTGAGGGGCGGTCTCCAAGCGAGGTACGGTCTCAGGGTGAGGAATGGTCGCCAAGCGAGGTACGGTCTCAGGGTGAGGAACGCAAGCGAGGTGCGGTCTCAGGTCGAGTGGCACTCCCAGGGTGAGTCTATACGTACGAGACCTCTTTCATTAACACTATTTTTATCATTATATTGACGAGGACGTATTAGACCCGTAGTGCGATCCCAAGAAAAGGAAAAAGTAATCCATTTCCTTAAATCAAGAACCATTCACTAGCGTCAAGGGCCCCACCATGAAAGATAGAGAGAGAGAACTATTTCTTTTTCTTATTTTCTCGCTTGTAGCGAGGCACACGCAATACACCGCTTGCAAAACCTGTCCTCTTTCAGTGTTTTATATTTTGGTACGTCCGCGGGGCAAAAATCTAAAATCTACGTCCCCAGAGTTTAGGTAGAAGCTTCCGGTGGTTGCTGCGTCCTTTCGTCCATGCGTGAGGATATGTTTTGTGTTTTATGGTAGAGGCGTGTGAGACACACCATGTGTAGTGTACACACGGTACGTTCTCTCTTTCCCTCGCTCTCTCGCTCTCATTCAGTCTCTCACTGTCATTCACTCACTTTCGCTGTCATTTAACATTTATTTATTTCTTCTTCGGGTTATTATCCTTGCTTGTTCAATAGCCTTGTTCGCTGCTCTTTCCTTCTCTTCGTGCCTCACCTTAACGTTAATTTAACTGGTTCCACCCCTCATTGTATTTTTTGGCAATAAGAGTTAAAGTGACACTCAAGAGTGCCACAGCGGCCCAGGATGAATGAAACTGCCCTGGATGAGTGCTACTGTGGCCTTTGAATGAGTGCCATTGCAGTTCTGGATTTAGTCCTGATCGTGTGCCACATAGGTTCGAATGCTGTTGAGGCTATGAATGTGCACCATTGTGGCCCCAGATGAGTGTCGCGGCAGCCCTGAGTGAGTGTCACTGTAGCCCTTGAATGAATGCCACAGTGGCCCTAGACGTGTGTCAGTGTAGGCCTGAATGAATGCCACTGTGGCCCTAGATGAGTGTCAGTGTAGCCCTGAAAGAATGCCGTTGCGGCCCGCGATGAGTGCTGCTAGCGAGGTTAATTTAATTGCAGATTACAAAAAGTGGATACAGTGTTTCTGACAACGAGGCCACTGACCCAAAGCAAGGAACGCTGACTTCTGGACGAGCATCCATCTTGGTACGAGAATGAGTAGCTGAATGAGACCGCTACTCTGGTTGAAGCTGAAGAGACTAAATGTTTGAAATGGATTTGTCTTATGCTCAAAGATTATCTGTAATTAATTAAGACCTACTGGGATTATTTTCTGGTTTGCCTAAGGTATACTTAGCAGGTGTGGATGAATCTACTCGAAGTCTACCTGGAGGGCATTCCGGGGATCAACGCCCCCGCGTCCCGGTCCATGACCAGGGCCTGATCAACGAGGCTGTTACTGCTGGCCGCACGTAGTCTAACGTACGAACCACAGCCCGGCTGATCTGGCATTGACTTTAGGTATCTTTCCAGCTCCCTCTTGAAGACAATCAGGGATCTATTGATAATTCTGTTTATAGCTGGTGGGAGGCTGTTGAACAGTCTTGGGCCCCGGACACTTACTGTGTTTTCTCTTAGTGTACCAGTGGCGCCCCTACTTTTCACTGGGGATATGTTACATCACCTGCCAAGTCTGATTTAAGTTTACTTAAGTTTACCCTAGTTTACTATTACAGCTCTGAATAGTTCATATGTTATTGCTTTTGATTCCTTGAGCTTTATCCTGCGTGAAGTTTATGGCTATACTGATACTGTTAATGGCTATACTGATACTGCTAATGGCTATACTGATACTGTTAATGGCTATACTGATACTGTTAATGGCTATACTGATACTGTTAATGGCTATACTGATACTGTTAATGGCTATACTGATACTGCTAATGGCTATACTGATACTGTTAATGGCTATACTGATACTGCTAATGGCTATACTGATACTGCTAATGGCTATACTGATACTGTTAATGGCTATACTGATACTGTAATGGCTATACTGATGCTGTTAATGGCTATACTGATACTGCTAATGGCTATACTGATACTGTTAATGGCTATACTGATACTGTTAATGGCTATACTGATACTGTTAATGGCAGTGGTCATCGCCTCGATCCTGCAAAGAAATAATGTCTGCTTCTTCATGCTGGCGGCTCTCAGTAGGGAAAGATACAGAGAAACATTGAAATGTCCACAGAGACCTTATCCCTGATGATAAAAAGGCACAAAGTTTCTTAAGAGTAGCAGGGGAGCCTCTCAGCCCCCTAAGTAAAATCGGCTATAATTCTAAATGGGTTCAGCCATTTAATGCAGATGGTCTTCAGGGAGATGATGTGGGAAAATTAAACAGAAGAATATGAAATTTAGCAGTTGTCCAGACTAGGATGACGGAGCCACGAAGATATAAAAATGGGCTTTGGGACGACAAGGCATCTGGTCAAAGTTATCAAGGTATCTGGTCAAAGTTATCAAGGTATCTGGTCAAAGTTATCAAGTTTATTGTACATAGAAAACTTGAAACCATATGAGGGGATCCATTTGGTATCTCCGTGTAAAACTGATTAAAACACTTATGGAAAAAAAAAAGAACCGGAGATAAACCAATTAGTGGCTGGTAAATAAGATATATATGCAACATTTAGCTATCTTTATTTCGAATATAGAGGAGGCAATGGAAGCAGGGGAGATATAGAAACGATGTAGTCAGTCCATCACACTCGAAATAGTTTTGGAGTGGTCAGTCCCTCAGCCTGGAGAAGAGTTCCGCTGCATTGTCTGGAAAGTTATTTAATGACTGTAAAAGAATATGAAAGAGATACGAAGTATGTTGTAAATCTCCCAGCTTGGGGGGAGAGGAGGGAGGGGGTTAGCAGCCCCCACCTATGGCTATAGGGGGTGCCAAATTTCTTTACATACCTTTAATATGTTAAAGCTAGTAACTGAGCCTCCATACTACTACTTATACGTATTTAAGCTAAGTTAGAGTTAGATTAATTTAACGTAGTAACTACATTACCTCTCACTACCTACACTAATAGACAGTAGGTACTTGGACCAGCTTGAGTTCCAGTGAGTCAGCCAGCTGCTCCTAACCGTCAGTTACACAAAATCCACAGTGAGAACAGGGTAACCTTCCGTACCGTCCTTGCAGTGAACCACAATTCGATAACACATTACGACCCGAGTTAGAGACATTTCACTGCGATTAAGGATATCTCGCTTGTGTACTAGACGGTTACACATGACTCGTAAAGGTATCTCAAGGGAGACTGCCCAGAGCGACCCCCAACTCCACGTAAGTAACTTGAGAGTAGTTGAATGCACATTCTGTACCTTGGAACCACGTGTAAAGGGTCTAGCCAGTTACCTCCACCGGAGAACTACAGTACAACTGTCAGCACACACAACCCATGTATGACGGAGGTACGTAAATTAATTCAGGCAACTATAAATGAGGTGGAAGGTTTCTAGTCTGGATAGCGCACATGACTAGACGTGGATTACTAACCTAACCAGTCAGAACCCACAGACAGCCTCTATTCTACACGAAATATTTTAAATTCTTGTAGAGAAATGCATGCAAGGGGAAATTAGGAAACCAACCATTTCAACTTTCCCCAATTCTCCCCTGTATCCACTGATATTCCATTGTAAAATTGACATTGCGTACTAGCAATACAACGATTGGGGTAAGAAAGAGAAAGGGGGTGATGTTTATGGACCAGAGTGAACAGCAAAATGCGTGAAGTGATAAACGCATAGTGGTAATGAGACATTTGTATGTGGTACTTTGTGTCATGAGTATTTTGACTGTTAGTTGAAAGTGAAAAAGTTGGTAAAAGATTAACAATATGAGGGACGGTCTCATAAGACTAGGATGCTGTTGTTACATCATTAGAGTCGAGAATTATGTGGTATATTTCTGTGTTTAGATTTAGAGGAGTTTCCTGTCGAGTTTTCCTGTTTGCAGTGGGTTTGCTGAGCTAAATTTCCAGCTGTCGTTATGGCTTAAAGTGTCTCTGGAAGCAGGGTAGTGAACAGGCGTGTAACGTGAGGGCCGGGCGAGGAAAGTGCAATAAAAAGGGTGAAGATGCTGGAGGCCGCCTAAGGAAGGAAGGAAAGGGGTATAAGACGCTATTTAGCTGAGGTGATGGAGGGTCCTGTGAAGGTAGAACTGACTGTGTCAGGGAAGGCGAGGGGAAGAGTTCAGGGGTGCTTGTAATTTCTGTGATAGATGTAGAAGTTTGAAGTGATTGGT